AACTATACATTGAGCTGAAATGACTAATTAGTTAACTAATTTGGCGATCAAGTAACAATCAAAAAAACAAACAGCAAGTGTAACAAATTCTCAGTAATAAAAAGCAACAGAAATATATACAGTGTGCTGAAATGTGAAAATTATTTGCATGAGAATGTGCATATTTACATAATACAAGGTGTAAACAACTTGACATGTAAAAAGCATGGTTCACGTGATGGTGTCAGCTTTTCAATATGATGATTTGGTGCTTTTTGGGTGATAAAATATAATAAACTGTCACCTTGAGCTCTGAAAAAAAAAAGACATTTGAGTATTTCTAATGTCTCAGAGACCAGATAGGGAAATTGTGTATTTACAAAGTTACCTGCAGCCCTAAAATTAAAAAAAATGGCAGAAAATCCTTCCACATATAGTACTTTTCTTCAGGTGCACCTTGCTAGTACTTTTTCTTGATTCAGAGTGTAAAACACTTCACGTCTTGCATTTGTATTTATTTGTTTATTGTATTATTTCTGGTATTAATTACTATAAACTCACAAAATTATACTTTTTAACCATATTAGACTGTCAGAACTCGTAATGAGTACTTTTTCTATTTTTTAACATTTTAATTGATTAGATAATTGACTAGAAGGTTAAACAATGAAAAAATATTTTATTACAGGTAGACCTTGATTACTGAAACTAACAAGGCAATGCATCAATAAAAACAATTGTGCTGCTTTTTTGGTCATAATTACAATAAAATGTCATCCAGCTCTGTATAATATGTGATTTCTTTAGTATTTTCTGATGTCTTAGAGACTAAATACAATTCTTCTGCATAACAGTACTTTTACGAGTTTGCTAGGACCTTTTTTTGAGTAAACTCTAAACTTGTACTTCTGAACATACAAGAGTAGGTTTTGCCTGAACATTGGCGATGACACCTTAAGTCTTTGGGTCTTTCTTTGCATTTTGAGTGTGAAACATTTAATTTCTTGCCATTTTGGTGAATTTTGGAGCACAAATTTGTACCCTTAACTGCATGCAGCTTTCTTTTTCTTTCCATTGTGAGGCCAAATCCACTTATCCAAGGATCGAGGGGGTCGCATCCCCTGCATCTAAGCTGTGAAATGCTCCTTTAGTCACGTAGCCTTTATGCAGGAACCTCACCAAGCTGCAGTGACATAATAGTGCGTCATAGCGGCGACAGGGGCGCGAGACGGTTCCTGACCCCCCACCCCCTCTTTCCTCGAGACGTGACGTGAAACAAATACAAGGAATAAACCATAAAAATTCACTTTACAAACCTCTATTCCGGTATCAATATTACGTTAGTCGAGTTTAAGCTGGCGTGAGGCGCAGTAGTTAAACCGTTGGGCGCAGAAACTTGCTTGAAAACATCATTTAAGTGCATTAAAATCGACTAAATCGTACTTTTAAACGCACTCCCGAGCGGCAGAAGACGCTTTTTTTTTGGTCGCAGCACAAACACGAGCCACATCACCGCTGGAGCCACATGTGGAGGCTGCGCGAAGCCTCAGCTACCGTGAACCCGCTGAACCCGACACCGGGTGACAGCCCGGAGCCACCAAGCAGGTCTGACAGCACACACACGAGCACACTCACCTTCCCCGAGTCCATGGCAGCGCTCAGACTCGACTCTTTCTTTGTCTGCGGGTCTTGTGGGAGAGTTGGCGGCGATGGAAGAACTTCCTCGGAGGGTCGCTCAGAAACCGCTCATCTTTGGGGAGAGTTGTTCCGCTGAAATGTTCTTTCTTCTTGAAGAGAAACTCTTCAGTTTCTCTTCTTTTTTTCTTTTCTTTTCTTTTTAAAGCCCAGCAGTTGTAGCAGGATGTCGGCTCTTTAGTTTTTTCTGTCTTTCTCCCGCTTCGGTTTAGTTTTGAAGCTCCAGCAGCTTTTACGCGCAGCCTCGTGGATGTGAAAAGTCTTCCAGGATGTTGGAAGTTTGTCCAGCTTCTGGAAACTGCTCTTTGGAGACATGAGCAACGCTTCGGTTAATATATTATAGCTGACGCAATTTGTGCGGGGTGTGTCCGAGCTGGAGGCCCGTCCTCCCCGGCAGCCAATGACAAGGTCTGGCATCAAACACACACACAGCAGGCATGGATGTGGTACGGTAACGGAAGTACATTTACTCAAGTACATTTTTAACATGCTCAAATTGTACTTTTATTTCAGCTTTAGCTACCAGTCTGGAACTTTATGGATGCATAAAAAATAAATAAAATAAAAAACAAACAAACCAAAAAACCTAAAACACGAAATACTTATGAAACATGATGCTTTCTTACAGTATATGTAATTAGGCCTACAGCTAAAAAACAATCTGTCAATACATTTATCATAACCTTAATTTTTCATACAAAAATACCTCAAATTTCACGATTCCATGACTTAAGCTGTGGTGGAAGGTAACTTGAGAACATCTGCTTGAGTATTTTATTTTATTTTATTTTGTTTTATTCATTACGTAGTCCTCTTTTTATCCAGCTTTAGTTACCAGTTACTTTACAGAATTAACAAAATTGCATTTAAAAAAAAGTTTATATAAAGTACTTATATAATACATACAAACACAGCTGGAACAGTTTATCAGTGCAGTTGATAAACTAACAGGATGTTCATTTTCAAGTTTTTTTTTGTGCAAAAATACCCCAAAGTTCATGATTCCAGATTTGCCACTTTTTAATTATATTATTGAATCATTTTAAAGTAATTTGTAGTCATGTTTTTGTCATCAAACACACACACACACACACACACACACACACACACACACACACACACACACACAAACACAGGAAGCTTGGTAATAGTGCAGGTAGTGAACTAACTGTGGTGAAATGTAACTTTAGTACATTTACTCAAGTACATTCTTTGATCCTTTGCTATTGTACTTTATACTCAGCTTTAATCACCCGTGACTTTACACACTTAAGATAGTTGCATACAAACATATGAAGTGCTTATGTAATATCTGTTACAGTCAATAGGAACACACCTCAAAGAGTTTCTCAATGCAATGTTTTGCCGCTTTCCTTCTAAGTTATTTTGATAATTTTAAATGTATTGGTAATAGTTTTAAGGGTTTGACGGCTGGTGTTACAAAACAACCATTTTGATTATGTCGCTCTACCATGAAATGTTGCATCATCAAGTCAAGTCAATTCAATTCATTTATAAGCTCTTCTCAAAACAACAAGTGTTCACAAAAGTCCTGTGCAGCTACACTCCTTTTACATTGCAAACGTTATTGTGTTGGGTTGGGTTGACATTATGATGTTATAATAATTGCATCGGCTTAATGTTGTGTCTGATTTAAACTCAAATTTTTGAACTAGTTGATTTTAAACTAAATTAAGTTAACTTTGACATTGCTTGATAACTTAGTCATTCTTCACATTAAGTTCAGGATTTCAAGTGTCCTCTCTCTATCCTAACAGCAGTTTCACGTGGTTAAGATTGGTAATTAAAAATACCTTTGACTGTAGATGAAGGTGTGTCAATGCGGTATGTTGGTTAAATATAAGTTCATTAGATGTCGTCATAACTCAAACAGCCCAAATATTATTTTTAGTGTAGAAGAACAACCGTAAAACAAAAACAATGTGACAAAACAAACAAACAAACAAACAAAAAAAACAGGTAAACCAGTCAACAAATATCAAAACTCACCCTGGCTTTCAAAATGTCCAGCGTTGGTGAAGTCCTGATGTGACGGTGCAGGCTGTTACACATTAAAGTATCAGTAATAATAATAATAAGAAGAAGAAAATATATAACAACATACCAACTGCTGGCCTTTTTCTCTACATTGAGTGCCTTCAATATTTTAAGTATTATTTGAGTGAATCATATTTATATACTTTTACTTTGGAAACATATTCAATGCAGGACTTGTATTGGAGTAGTGTGATAAAGTAAGAAAGTAAGTAGGTGAGAGTTGCAGCTGAAAGCTCTGCATTCACACCATTGCATAGGTTTAAGTGTAGAAATATGATCAGCAGAAAAAACAAGCTGCCAGAAATAAAGCCAGAAATGTCTGTTTTTAGATTATTTGCTGAAGAAACCACTCGACCAGTGAGGTACATCATCACATTGAGGCAGAAATCAGCTAAAAATAATTTGCAACTCTACCCACAAAGGCCTCATACAACCAGAGGCATTAAGTGGATAAACACTATGTTTTAGGCTGTATGGACACATCTTCTTGTGGTGTATATTGTTGTGTCATCTACTAATATATGTGTGAGAATGTAGCTGATAAAGTTTGTCATTTCTATATAGGGACAAAAGAGTCTGAATTACTTTCAGTATCTGTTATTTACATTTTGTTAACTGATTTCCAGCCTTAGTAATGTAAAAAGGCTGCATTGAAGTCATATTTGCTTTTAATAATTCTGCTTATATTTTAAAAAATGCATTTTGTCTTGATGTGAACATCTTTTATATTGTTTGTTGTTTTTTTTTTTGTTCTTTTTTAAAATCATTAATAGTATTTCCAGATGACTTTCAACTGGTTTTGAGTTGTTTGCCTTCAGCTTTCAGTTGTCTAACTATGAGTCACTGGTGTTTCACCAGCTCGCTGAAATGACATATCTGCCCTCCATTCAACCTCTCCGCTGTGATCTGGGATGTTTGTTACCAAAGGCCTGGAAAAATAAATTTAAAAAATGAAAACTGTGCACCACCTTTTGTTTTGTATTGAGGGGGAGTTGTCCGGTTTGAGTGTGTGTAAAAAAAATTAAGAAAATAATTAGGAGCACCCAAAGGGAAATGCATGTGTTTGCACAGTGCCTGAAAGCGCAGGGGGGGAAGGGAGGGTAAGCGGTCGAATTTGTCAAAATTTGTTCCCTTCGTATTTTGTCTTCTGCCTTTGAAACCTTGGATAAACAATAATAGGGAAATATTGAGGAAAGGCTCAAGTGGGAACCCCAAATAAACTGCCTCGGTTTTGTGACAGAATGAAGGAATAACATTAAAACAAGTTTGTGTGTTGAAGGCTGATGTGAAAAGTATCACGCTGTCACATCTGTGTTTCCAGGGAGCACTTTCGTCACCCTCACTGGTATTGTTTCCTCTTCATTAATCATACACTCATAGTAATTGTAAAGAAGACTTTTTTCTCTCATTTTAAGCCACTAAAATGCACAAGCAAAGATGAGGTCAACACACGATGCACAGGCCTCCTGCTACAGGTGGTGGGGTTGCTATCCAGCTGGAGCATGTTGAAATGGAAAGAAAATAATCGCGATGGAGGAGGAGGAAGAACGCCTGTATTCTTACGGCAGCAACAGTGAAGGGAGAACAGGAAAAAAAAAAAAGACACATTAAGGAACAGTTTATTATTGTTTGGTTTTAACCTGCAAATCCTTTGAAAGTCCAACGAAAACAATAACAGACATTTTTTTTCCTGGAACAAAGAGCGAATGTTCTGAAGGATGGTATTGTATAGTAAATCAAACGCTCAGGATGCCAGTCACAAGGAGTCTGACTTCTGTCCGGTTTAAACAAAGCCTCTGCATAAACGCAGCAGAAACTACTGACTGCTGGAAACCTTTCTGCATTTTGCAACACCTGAGTTCTTTCTATCTTCACTT